AGAGGCTAGGTGGGGTTTCTGAGAAGAAATGGAAACTCTGCAGAGAGGCGGGATCTGCTCGCCAGACATGCAGGAAGTGGGACTCGCAGTACCGAGTGGGTAATGAGCCATGTGGCAGAACACAGATGAGCATAAGCGGGTTAATTTAAGTTTTAAGAGCTAGTTGGGAACAAGACTGAGCTAAGACCAAGTTTTCATATTTAATAAGTCTCTGTGCCATTATTTGGAGCTGGCAGCCCAAAGAAAGCCCACCTATACCAAATAGTTAAGTGTAAATGTTAAATCTTCCAGAAAAATCTAACAGATTAAGAAGGATGAAACACTCTCCGTGATGTAACACTCTCCGTGATGTTGTGTGGGCATATACATGTTTGTACAAGTGCACATGGATGAGCACATGTGTTTATGCAAGTTCACATGCATGCACATGTGGGGCCGTTGTGCACATGTCTACACACCCATGTAGAGGTCAGATCAACTCCTGTGCTGTTATTCAGACATAGACAACTTTACTCTGAGACAGTCTCTTGCTGGCCTGGAACTTGCCAAGTCGTCTAAACCAGCTGGCCAGAAGGACTTACAGATCCCTGTCTCCACCACTCCAGCACCGGGATCACGGTATGCCCCCATCGCAGTTTAGTTTGTTTGTTTTTTTTATCATGGGTTCTGGGGATCAGACACAAGCCCAATACTTTACTGAGTAGTGAACTCCCATCGCAGACATTGTGATATTATTTAAGTGTACTCTCCAATTGGAAAAGCTTGGCATCTATTTACAAAATATATAAATTGATAAATTTTCCACTTTTAGCTTTATAGAATTCTTCCTGGTGGAGCAGATTTACTAAGGAGTGTCAGAGCACAGGGTAGGAACGTGCTATGTGTTCTTCTGGGACACCCAGTCTTTCCGGTCTTCAGTCATGTCTCTGTGGCCGAGTTCACTTTTGAAGGAAGACTGGAAAATTCTGAAACTGAGAGCTCTTTATGCGGGCTAATAAGCTACAAAAGTCTTCTCTGGGCAAACTGAATCATAAAAATGAGGGCAAAGTCACCAAAGCACAAATCTGGGATGAAGCAACAAGGAAAGGTGGCTTCGGGAAGCCTGGCTGCGTCTCCACGGGGAGTCCTGATGCTGTCCAAGTTAATCACATTTGAATACCTTGGATTCTAAAACTCTTTTAATGAGTAAATATGAGGGAGACAGAACTTAAAATCCTGAAACCATTTACAGCACAACCATAGCTTTCCAAAAACAGCTGCAAGACTAGAGGAAAGGAGAGTCCAGTCAGTGATGGAGAAAAGGCCAGGGCATGGCTACCAGGCTACGAGACAGGATTTGCTCCAGGGGCGGCAGGGTGGCTTTGAATAAGGGATGAACATGAAACACACTATATTTTGAGCAGATGGCTCTGGCTTCTGTCCAGAGAATCGAGCAAAAAATCAGAAGCAGACAGACCAATGAAGACAAGTGTCAGGCACTGGCAAGGCATGGGCACAGGGCCCAGGTAGTCAAAGAAATGAAACAGACCTGGCAAGGTATGGACTCAGCAGGCACTGCCAATGGAAAGCCCAGAGTTTAGAATGAAATACCAGAACCGTATGGTGAGAAGACACTGTGGAGACTGCAAAGCTGAAGGCTTGGAGGAAAAGAGAGGTGGAGGACTCGGCCATCAGTTCACTGCAGAGGGAGGGGAGGAAGCAGAGCAGCCATGAGACGGGCTTGTTTGCTGAGTGCGGTGTGGCTGTTTATGTGTATAAAGGAGCAGGTGTTACACAGTGTGACAGGGTCTAATCCAGACAGAAAGAAGTACTGCTACCAAGGTGATAAGGGGTGAGCCACACCCAAACAACCAACGCTAGAAAGCACACGTTAGCTGTATGCAGTTTTTTGTTTTATAAGATTCATTTTGTTTTTATTTGATGATGTATGAGAAAGGTGTGTGCGTGTGTATGTGTGTGTGTGTGCACGTGTGTGTACTCATGTGCAGTACCCATGAAGGCCTGAAGAGGATGGCAGATCCCCCCAAAGTTGCAGTTACAAGTGGCTTACCCAACATGTTAGGAAGTGAACAAATGTTCTTAACTACTAAGTCATTTCTCTAGCCCTTGTTAGATATATTTCGTTCATAAGAGATATATTTTGTTGGTAAGAACACCACAATACAGAGGAAAGTAATAAATGATTGAGCATCAAGGTCAGATCCATAGGCAATGCATACAAAGTACCTCTGTTAGGTACCTGACCAAGTATGACACGTCAATAACAGGTCATGATGGGGCAATGGGGAGCAGAAGCTCGTATCAGACAGGTCACTGTTCAACTTACTTGAATTATTAATATGCTTTGGATAACTATTTTTCAAGTTTATTCGCAATTCAACCATTCAAAAAACAAGTATGTTTATGCTTCAAAAAAATGCAGTGTAGTCTGTACTCACTCCTAAGTGGATATTAGCTGTAAAGCAAAGACTAACCAGGCTACAACCCACAGCCCCAGAGCAGCTAGGTAACAAAGAGAACCATATGAGGGATGCGTGGATCTCCCTGAGAAGAGGAAAGAGAACATGCCCTGGGTAAATTGGGGGCACAGAGGAGTAGCGGGGAGGGGATGGGGGATGAGAACATGAGGGATCAGGATGGGGGCCGGAAGGAATGGGAGGGAAATCAAAGAGAAGGCATGATAGAGGGGTCCATTCTGGGGTTAGGAAGAAACCTGATGCCAGGGAAACCCCCAGGAATCCACAAGGACAACCCCAACTAAGACTCTTAGCAATGTAGAGAGGGTTCCTGAACTGACCTTCCCCTGCAATCAGATTGATGACCACCCTAATTGTCATCATGGAGCCTTTGTCCAGTACCTGATGGAAGCAGATGCAGAGATCCACAGGCAGGCACTTGGCTGAGCTCCATGAGTCCAGTTGAAGAGAGGGGAAGGGATTATATGAGCAAGCAGGGAATGGAGATCATGATGGGGAAACCCACAGATATAGTTTCTCTGAGCTTGTGGGAGCTCATGGATTCTGGACAGATAGCTAGGGACCCGGTATGGGACAAACCTGGGCCCTCTGTATCTGCGTGACAGTGGTGTAGCTTGGGCTTTTGTGGGGCCCCTAGCAGAGGAACCAGGACCTGTCCCTGGTGTATGAGCTGGCTCTTTGGAACCTATTGCCAGTGGTGGGATGCCTGTTCACCCTTGAAGCAGGGGAAAGCACTTGGTCCTGACTCAATTTGATTCTCATGGGAGGCCTTACCCCATCTGGATGGAGACGGGGGGGGGGGGGGGGGGGGGGGGGGGGGGGGGGGGGGGGGGGGGGGGGGGGGGGGATGAGGTAGGGGAATAGGAGAAGAGGAGGGAAGAGAAACTGTGCTAAGTTTACAAAATAAGTTTAAAAAATGATTTAAAAAAAGAAAGAAAGAAAATGACTCCCAAAGGGAGTGGCACTATTAGGAGGTGTAACCTTGGAGTATGTGTGGTCTTGTTGGAAAAAGTGTGTCACTACTGAAAGGCAGGCTTTCAGGTCAAGCTCAAAGCTCAAGCCATGCCCAGTGTCTCAGAACACTTCCTGCTGCCTATGAGTCAAGATACAGGGCTGACTCTCAGCTCCTTCTCCAGCACCATGCCTGTCTGCATACCACCATGCCGCACCACGATGATAATGGACTAAACCTCTGAAAATGTAAACCACCCCAATTAAATGTTCTTTCTTTTTAAGAGCTGTTACTGTCATGATGTCTCTTCACAGCAAGAGAAACCCTAACGAAGACAGAAATGTACAAAGAAAAAATATTTAGATAATTACCAGATAGAACGAGCACAATTTTGGTTGTCAGTTTCTTTTAAAAAATAACATTATTAGAGACAATTTAGTTCCAATGATAAAAGGGCAACTGACCTTACAGTTCAGATTTTCCCTAAGCGCTACACAGCTGACTTCCTAAACAGCTGCTGTGAGCCACACTGTTAAGCCATGAATGGCGCAGGAGTGGAGCATCTGGTAAACATTCTCATACGGAAACCTTAGGAGTTCCACAGAGGAGGGGTCACCCCAGGCTCCACAGAGGAGGGGTCACCCCAGGCTCCACAGAGGAGGGGTCACCCCAGGTTCCACAGAGGAGGGGTCACCCCAGGCTCCACAGATGAGGGGTCACCCAGGTTCCACAAAGGAGGGGTCACCCCAGGCTCCACAGAGGAGGGGTCACCCCAGGTTCCACAGAGGAAGGGTCCCCCCCAGGTTCCACAAAGGAAGGGTTTCCCAGGTTCCACAGAGGAGGGATCACCCCAGGCTCCACAGAGGAAGGGTCACCCCAGGTTCCACAGAGGAAGGGTCACCCCAGGTTCCACAGAGGAAGGGTCACCCCAGGTTTCACAGAGGAGGGGTCACCCCAGGTTCCACAGAGGAGGGGTCACCCCAGGTTCCACAGAGGAAGGGTCCCCCTGGTTCCACAGAGGAAGGGTCCCCCAGGTTCCATGGTAGAAGGGTCACCCAGTTTCATGGTGGAAGGGTCACCCCAGGTTCCATGGTAGAAGGGTCACCCCAGTTCCATGGTAGAAGGGTCACCCCAGTTTCATGGTAGAAGGGTCACCCCAGGTTCCACAAAGGAAGGGTCCCCCAGGTTCCACAGAGGAAGGGTTACCCCAGGTTCCATGGTGGAAGGATCACCCCAGGTTCCACAGAGGAAGGGTCACCCCAGGTTTCATAGAGGAAGGGTCCCAGAATTCAGGGTAGGTTCTTCTGGACATGTGCAGATTTGTCAAGTACAATGAATGAATGGTTTCACAATGAGTCATTTAAAAAAATAACATATTTTTGGTTCTTTAAGAATATTAGCTGAGTTTCTGATCTCAATTTTTTGAACTATTTTAAAAATCATACAGTACTTATATGATAAAAAAAAAAAAGCATCTCTAGAACCATTGAAAGTTCAAAAGGCAAAGACTTCTGAATCCCCAAATCAATCAAATACCAGGTAAGATCCCCCTCTCAAACAAGGTCACCAACCTGCTGGGCTGCTTCTCCATTCACCAAGTGGGGCATCATGGCCACCTCCCCGTTGAGCAGGGGTGGCAGTTCCAGGGGGATCTGGTCGGTCATCATCATGGTGACGTACATTCATGGAGAATTGCCCTCAACTTGCTATCTGCAAGAGACAAGAGAAACACCCATACTTACAAAAAATAAAAAATAAAAGGCCCATGACTACAGTTATGAGCAATTCCAGTGTTCTCTGTAGGAGTCCATGCACCCTCATCACAGAGCACTGCTGCTAAGTTTTATATCCGTCCCCACAGTGAACCAGGGAAGGCAAGGAAATAAGCAGAATTCGAAGACCAAAATCAGGTTCCCAGCATTTAGTTCAAAACTTTAAAACACGAATAATGGTAACAACCCCACCCCATTTTATCTGAGGATAAAATGAGATTGCATTTTCTAAAATAATTATTTATGTGTATGTCACATGTGTGCAGACACCGCAGAGGACAGAAGAGTGTTCTGTCCGGTGAAGCTGGAGCTACAGGCTGGTCGTAAGCCACCCAATGTGGCTGCTAGGAGCTGCACTGAGGTCCTCTGCCAGAGCAGCAAGTGCCTTTAATTTGGGGTCACATTTGGAGACAGTAAAAATGACAACCAGAAACTACAGTGGTCATCATAAGGTAATGACCAAAACAGAGGTTACATTCCCAAAGAACTATACTTTCTCTTCCATCGAGATCAACATAATTTAGAAGCATTTAACACGAGCAAACTGAGGTTAATACATACACTGCAGCCTCACGTTAAAAGACTAAGTAATCTGATAATCACCGAGTTCTAATTATTTCCCCTTGATCATTTCTTTGAGTCGGACACATAGGATCTCTCTTTCTCAGACACTCTTTGGGCTCCCCTGTATCTGTGACACACCCAAACCAGCTGGGCCCCAAAGCTGATTCCCTTGTTTACACGGAATAAATGAAATTCACACTATATCCAAAATATCATAAATTCAAAAGAGCTTTTTTTCTCTTCCATAATTGCACCTTCCTCGTGTAGTCGGTGTGACAGCACACCAGGAAGAAAGTACAATAAATCCCTGGGGAATCACAGCTGTTCCATAAAAACTACATGTGTATTCATGCACTGTGGCATGAAAAGTCTAGGAACACGAAAACATATCTGTGTGTATGTGTATGTGCACGCATTTGCATGTGTGTGATATATATAGATCACACACACCGAATTTTAAATAATTTCCGAAAAAATATTTATTTAAAGGCCAAAGTTTTATCATTCATAAAAACTCCCTCAAAATTACACATTCAAAGCTATTTGACTAATGAATAATTTATTGTTAGTGTCTCACTGCAGGCTCACATACACACACACACACACATGCACACGCACACACACTGCAGGCCGGCTTACAGTGCTGTATAGCGGGGCTCCTGTTCAGTAAGAAGTAGTCTCTGCTCTTTTCCCCTACTCTTCCCATCCAGGAGCTTCCGGCAGTTGCTGGAGAAAGTGACAGTGACTCTGCCTTCTTTCTTTCTCACTTTCTGCAGCAATGAGCACTAGGTCCTCTCCCCTCTCTCCCACTGAGATGGCCCAACATTCCCTGGACCATCTTCTAGACTACACGGAACCTGAACTCTCTGTTGTCACCCAAAGGCAGGAGTAAACCAACGGTAGGTCCTTCCCCACCCCACCTGGACCTGGTAGGTCCTGGAATTCCCACCAATATGTAAGAGTATAGAAAAGAAAGACAGATGCTTCAGAGGCTAGGAAGGAGGGTGCTGGGAGAACACTCCCCTAACCAGGAGGGTGCTGGGAGAATGCTCCCCTAACCAGGAGGGTGCTGGGAGAATGCTCCCCTAACCAAGGTCTGCTGACAGTCAACGCTATTTATGCTGCACACGGTTCAACACAGTCAACTAACATTGTTTAAACTGGAGTGAGTCTTAACTAGACACAAAATTCAAGTATTCCAGGTCCCCTAGTACTACAGAAAAACTCAACACCACCTAGTCTAAGGCTGACAGTTCCATTTTAAAAACCTTCCTGGCTTTCTTCATGTTGAATAACAGGGCCTGTTATCAAGAAGACATGGCCTACCCAACCCCACTCAGCAGGACTCTCACACATGAGTGTCAGTCCCAGGACAGAGCTAGACTCCAAGTTCTGCAAGAGTGGGTAAGGTGTGATCATAAAAACAACTCCTGAAAGATGCCCTCTGACTCACACGCATGGCATAGCATACACACAAACATATACACAGCATACACACACAGCACACACACACAGAGATCATATATCATATATAAAATTTTAGAAAACCATTAACTTTATCTTCAACAGACTATAAGGTAGGAGACTAAGGCAGAAAAGATAACCATGCAGTCAGCATTTAAACAGCCATTTCCGTGTAAGCACACATGGGACACTTACCATCTGACCAGAATCCAAGGGAAACACAGAAGCAATCGGCTCTACCCAGATACTTATGGCAATCACCTATCAAGTTGCCTCTAAAATTATTCTAGGACAGAAATGGCCTAGCACCATGGACCACAGAGAGAAGAGACAGGCAAGCAAGAGGACTGCCAAAGAATGAAAGCGTGTGTAGAGGAAACGTTAGGATAGGCAGTGGGATCTTTAGGTGGAGACTTGCTATCCAGCAGCATTCGTCTGTAAGGAATTGGGGTGGGAATTACAGATTCAAGAGCAGATCACACAGTTTTCATAAAATAGAGCCAGAGCCATTATTCACAACAGTAAATTCATTCATAAGAGGGTGACCAGCCTGGGAGCCCCTGTAACATTCTGGTCTTAGGTACCCAAAGAAACTCACATCACTTTGAGGTGTTTCTTGTAATTTCTTTGGCTTACAGAGATGAGTCATGGCTATGTAGCACAGGTTGGCCTCCAACTTGTGAATTTCAAACAGTCCACCTCCACAGTTAGTTCCTTAGAGTTGTTATACTCAGTCTCTCTTGTGTGCTATATCCCAGGCCCACTCTCCTTCCTTTCTTCCCTCCCTTCCTCCCTCCCTCCCTCCCTCCCTCCCTCCCTCCCTCCCTCCCTCCCTCTCTCACACACACACATACACACACACACACAAGTGAGCACACGCACACAGTATTAATGATCACTTTCTCTCATCTCAGGACTACACTCTAAGTCTGGCGTCCTTTTCTCTGAAAACCCAATTGTCACAGAAGAAGAGCGGTCTCTGGGTGAGGCCTCAGAAACCCATCATACATCCTAAAACAACATCTGCCATGGTCACTGCTTCCTCATCAACTTCAAGAGCAGCTGAGGGGCCCGTGTGCACTCTCTGGTGAAGATGGACACCCGAGTCAGAAAGTCTCAGGAGTAGCCACCCTAAGAAGGGATTTGTTTACTTGCTGTCTTCCCAAGAGACGTGGATTTGAACTAGACAAATCTACCTTAAGATTCATGTATTTTAGTCCAAGACGCTCCAAACCCACAGGCTCTACCACCAGTCAGGAGATCTCACACTGAATGGTTAAAGGAGCCCATTAACCTTTACATGCTACAGATCCAACCAGAAGAAATAAAGTAGACCGAGTCTACAGCATACTCTTTACTCTACTGAGCTCAGCGGGCATTTGCACACAGCTCCCCAGGTTCCCGCTTTATCTTTCTTAGACCTAGACTTCCAGCTTAAAAGAATCTGGTAACAACCACAGGCCTCACAACCTCTCCCTTTCACCACACATCGAAACACTAAAGCCACAATCTTTGTACCCAACCAGTTGTGATCTGAATGAAAAGGGCAGATGCCATGTGAGCCCTTGTGGTCACAGCTCTTCTCCTAGGAGAGCACATCGCTGGTTCGCTACTAGCCATGATACGCCCACCATTAGTTCCTGAGCTACAAGAATGGGGAACAGGCACTCTAGAAACGAAAGGAGCACGTCCTCCCTGTTAATAATTAACGCCTCTGTTAAAGACTACCTTATTTTAAAATAACTTCACCAGGCCCGCCAGTTTCCCCATCTCTCTAGGCATTTGGCTTGGTGCCTTTTCTCCTTTCTTTGCGCTTTGGCCCTCGTCTAGTCTATGAAACATGAAAGTCAAATCATGAAAAACCTGATTTGCAGAAGAGACCTGATGACCCGTCTCCAGAGGAGCAACTGTACACAGGAAGAACGTCTTCTTAGAGGGCAAAGCCCAAAGCACTGCTGAAGTTCTTATGTCTGCAAAGCTGCCTTCAAATTAGTAACAAAATGTCCTGATCCTCACTCAGTGGGCCGATGACCCAAATTTCCATACATTAATTCAAGATGTGAGTTGGCAGTACAGTGCACAAATTAGTTTCAGATGACAAGAGAAAGAACAACAGAACACCACCAAAAGGAGCAAGGTAAAGCCACCAGAGCTCTAGGAGCAGGGCCAGGATACATGAAGAGCAAGCAAAGACAAGCAAAGGCTCAGGCCCAGGCTCACCTCCCAATACGCTGGCCCCTGCGCTACGTAGGAGGGGGCAACTAAAACCCACAAGTCAGTTTGAACTTTTGCTTCCATTACCAAATTTCAAATGCAATTATTTTTTGCACTGTGTGTGTGCCATGTATGTGCATGTGTGTATACATGTTTAAATGTGTGTATGCACACATGTACAAGTGCATGTACACATGTGTAGGTGCATTTGCAGACTATTTATTGAGGCACAGTTTCACAATGAACTTGAAGCTTGGAAATTCTTGCTAGTCTATCCAGCCCGTTCACCCAGGCTTCTGTCTCCTCACCCCACAAATGCACGTTCCAAAACCAATAAACACAAGGACCTAACAGGAACTTGTAGATAACCTCGAAGTTGATGCTCAGACGTCACTGGTGTTAACTTCTAGTCCACTCACTCCACAGAGCTACTTACTATCTTTTCAATGGAAAACAGTCCAACTAGGCACTATCAGACAGACTAGATACCATGAAAATAATCAAATTCTACATGCTACATCTACATGCAACATGTTTGTTCTGTAGGCTAAGGAACATACTGGTCATGGGCTCCCTGGAAAATTCACAGCCCGATTCAGATTTCATGAAAGGCTCCTTCTCTGTTAAAAAATACCAATGGAAGTCAAGTAAGACAGTATGACCTAGAGTCCCAGCCGCTCAGGAGACCAAGGCAGG